ACATACACTCTTTCATCCCTAAAAGATATATACCTGAAACATCATTTTAACATCCTTAAGGAAGCTTGGATCTTATTGTTAATCCTTCCAAATCCATTCAAGAAAATTTTGGGAAAATGTAACTGAGAGCATGTTGGTCATCTATTCTCAGGCAATGAGGAAATTCAATTACACAAGTCTGCAGTTGGAGGGAATCACAGTACAATTGACCAGAATTTAAATGTTTGAAGTTCATTTCCCATCCTAGGGTGACACAGAAAAGAAAACTTATGATTCACTCTTATGATTCATCTTGAATGGATCCAGCAGGCCTGTCACAATGTTTTTTTAAGCCCTATACAACAAAGTAAAAGAAGTTGTCAGGATGTGCATAAAGAAGACAGAGGTAATTACCACACTGGGGACCCATCTGACAATGATTACACTTATACTACCACTAAGGAGGTATTTGCCTATTTGGTATGTGCTTATTTTTACACCAGTATGTAAAATAGCATGGAATCTTGTATCCCAAGATTTATGATATCAATAAATAGTGGGAACATAGGATATTCTGGTAGCCAAGAATTCCTTATTTGCTACGTGTTACGGTAATTATGATTATTTTTATTTTCATACCAAACATGGTAATCTTAAATTTCAAAGAATCTCACGCATGGTGTTGAAATGCTAACAACCCAAATGCTTTCCCTGATCAACAAATTTAAACTAGTAGTGGAATCAACTTCATATTTATGTACACGGAACCAGTTTTGTGGAAAAATACTAACTGGAAATTAATAACACTACCCTACCTGTATAATGGATGCTAACAATCCATTAGAATTTCTCTTACATGTTTTTGGTTAGAGGTAGGAGCAAGGAATATCGGAGTGGAACATGTTTATAAATGCTAAAAAAGGAATTAATGGGAAAAAATAACTAAGATTTTATATTCAGAAAAGCAAAACAGTGACCATTCCCTAAGTTTTGGTCTGTTCATTTAATGTCACTATGTTTTACTTCATTATGTCTACTTCACGTGACCCACACTCATTTGATGCCTACACCAATCCCACCAAGTCAAAGACTTAGTCTCTCAAATTTGATTATCATTTACATAATAAAAGTACACTGGCCAAGTTCAGAATTAAGAAACAGGTCTCGTATCCATCTGGTAACACAAAGTTGATGTCAACCAGCATACCTTAAGGACAGAAGAAAACATAACTTTACTAACTAAAGAAAAAAGATCAACACAACAACCATCATAGAAACTTTATAAGAGACTTTAACCTAATCATGTACAATAACAGAACAACATTTTGTTGGGGTCTGATCATTTGGACCTGACGACTGTAAAGCTTATTCTTTTTTTCATGCAAACCTACGACTCTCATACATACTAAACAGTAAGTATGACACCAATATTTGTCTTGTACTCTCACTACTCTGTACTTTGAGAATTAATTTTACGAAGAAAACAATAACAAGCATTACAATAACTTCTTTTTTTCCAAAATTAGGCCATGACAAAGATTTACTAAGAAAGAAAAAGGAGGACAATGAATCCTATGGAACAAGAGACCAAAGCTAAAAACAACCAAGAAAATATCAATGTAACAAAGCTTCCAAACTCAACATATTTGTCAAGAGTAGCCCCATTAAAAGGCCATGTGGTGTACATCAAAATAGATGCCAATTGCCAAATGCATAATCGTATAACAAATCAAGGGATGCACAAAAGAAGTCTACTTAAAAATACGATGGTTCTGCTCTCATTTTCAATGAAAAAATGAATAGTTCATAATCATGATTCCATTCCATGTACCAAATGTCCAAACAGGCAAATGCATAAAACTAATGGACGGCATTTCCATTCCCGACACAGTCAAACACTGCAATATAAATCACATTCCAACTCAAAGCTCATTCCCATTCTGCTAATTTTATTTTACACACAAAACTTTCCCTTATTATACATCTGATATACAGAATAGTAGCTCCAAGGAAATGCAATCACGTATTTATTATCAAAAGAAACGCATTGAATGAAATTCCATTTCCATGCAATGAATTTAATAACTTTTTCCCTGACATGTTCATTTATCAAAATTACAATTGTCATTTCCATCAAATTTCACTTTCACAAATTCTGATTATATTTTGAACCTGTCGTTCCCGCATTAAACTATGTAAAATTAACCGAAAAACAATTACATAAACACGTGAATATATTTATACAGAAAACGATTATTGTGCAAAAGAGATTATTCAATACGAATTCTATCATTATTGTCTATTGACGCAATTTATGAAATCAATAGCTACGGTATGTTTTAAGAACGCGTAGTGTAGTTAAGAAGAAGAAGCCGAAGTAGTACCTCGAGAAAGCGAGCTCCAGCACGTGGAATCGAAAGCGATATTCGACGTAAGCCTAGCATCAGCGATAGCACTGTGAAGAGGCATCAACGACTCAACGCTTATCACAACCGACAAAACCCTATCAAGCACGAAAACCACAAAGTTAACGCCAAAACGCAATGCAGATCGATAAGAACAGTTCAAACCACAAGCCGAAGTGTGTTGTACCTTGAAGCCAGAGGGATGCGTGGTGAGGAAGCCGAAGAGAGCAGAAACGGAGTCGTTGAGCTCTGAACGAAGCTTCTAGAACGATTAGCGAAGGATCTAGAACCCACCCTCACCGCTGATTTACAAAGCAAGGAAGCCATTACGCTTGAACCCCGCTCGCTTAACTACAAATACTAAAACCCTACTACAGTACTACTACAAGTCACCGCTCACTAACTAACTATTCAGTTTTATTGGGCCGGCCCAACCCGAGTTTGGTGGCCCAATTTAATCGGCCTACTAAACCTATCTTATTCCGAACTTCTTTGGTGTGTTGTGCGACGGCGCAAGAGTGTGAAGATGGCGGAAGAAGCAGTTTTGGGTTACCTAGAGAACCACGAGGAGATTCGAGACTCGGGTGAGTTCGCTGCTGAGCGCGGCATTGACCATAACGAGATCGTGAACGTGATAAAGAGTCTTCACGGTTTCAGATACGTGGACGCGCAAGACATTAAGCGCGAAACGTGGGTGCTGACTGATGAGGGGAAAACGTATGCCACTGTGGGATCCCCGGAAGTGCAGCTTTTTTTGGCAATACCGCCAGAGGGTATCTCTAAAGATGAACTTCAGGTTGTTTATGTTTGTTAAATGTTAGCAACACGCAATTCTGTGCAATTTGTTCATGTTGATTGTGAATTTAATTGCTTTTGTTTTGCTGGTTGTAGAAAAAGCTGGATCCTTCTCTCTTCAAGATAGCTTGTGCCCAAGCTGCAAAGAACAAATGGGTGGAAATGGGGAAACAGTTGATAACTAGAAAGGTATGGATTTTACGTGTTGGTTTCTTTTTAAGAAATTGATATCTTGGTAGGAAAATTGGGTGTTATGACTAGTGGATTAGGTTATTAGATGATATGGGTCTCTCCTCTATCTGAGCTGAGGCCATTTGAGTGAAGTAATTAGGAAATTTGGTTTCCCAACAATTTTTACTCACAAATTCGCATGCATTGTGTGAATGTGCATGTTTTCTAGGCTGCAAAGTGTTTGTGTGTGTCTTTTAGATTTTGAGTACTTTTTTTTAGGTCCATTTGCGTGTAATGGAAAATGACCATGTTGAATTCTCTCTGTCCTTAGAGATGGGAACGAATTCGTTATTTACCGAGCATTTTTTGACAATCCTGTTTATTGCTGCAGGTCCAACATGTGGATGACAAAGTCAAAGAGCTTCTACTTAAAATACAACAGGGGCTGGTATGTGTACAACATGAATATGAATATTTTTGTCAGCAAACTTCTTAATTACATTAGAAGAGGCAATTTGAAGAACTGTGATTCTTTTCTGTTTTGGTTAGGAGGGGCTTGTCAATAGTTCTGTTCATATAGCAATAGTAGGAAGTTTTAGAAAAGTTGAGGAGGTGAAATGTTGATATATACCAGGCTATGTAAAATTATCAACGGGTAGACAAGAGTGTAGTCACACTAGTTGGCATCAATCATTTTTTAAATGGAGTGTTTTGGAAATATATGCGCATAAGATTTTGGTGAATGACAAGGTTTTATATAGAACATCAGATTCAACTCAACATATGAGACAGTTACAGGAAGTCATAGGGGGACTTTGATTTGAGATCACTTTAGTTATGAGGTTTACCTTAACCTATGTGAAATCCATCCTTTATTTGTTTTGAGGGATAATTGTTGTTGACCTTCTTGTTTACTCCTCTGTTTTTTTTTTGGGGGGGCAGTTGCTTATCATTTTCTTTTGCAGTTTTGCCTATGTAATTTCCATAGGAAATCCATCCTTTATTTGTTTTGAGGATAATTGTTGTTGACCTTCTTGTTTACTCCTCTTTGTTTTTTTGGGGGGGCAGTTGCTTATTATTTTCTTTCGCAGTTTTGCCTATGTAATTTCCATATCTCATTAGAAATTCTACCATATATTGCAAATGCAGAGCATTGGTTCAGATGAGATCAAAGCACTTAAAGCGAGAAAGCTCATTGTTCCACAGTAATAAAATTTCACTTGGTTGTTTTAAAGTGTTATTCAGATATACTGGATGTGCATTAAATGACTTGACTATTCTTTCATTATTGAAATTCTTCTTGGTATCTTATCATTTAGGACGTGGAAAGGTTACTCGTTGAAAAAGGGACCTAATTATGCACCAAAAAGAAAGAAGGTTGTCACTGACTTGACACGAGAAAATTTCCAGAGGTATTTTTTGTTTAAACTGAATGTGAATGGGGCTTGTAATCTCTGTTCAATTGTTTACTATGTGCAAGACTTCTTTTTTTTTTGTCAATCTGCATCATATAACTGAATTTACTGTGTTTTTATGTCAGTGGTGAGTGGAAAGAAACAGAGTTCAAAGAATACAACTACAGTGCTAAAGGTCAACCTCTTGAGAGTGGCAATCTTCATCCATTGCTGAAGGCAAGGAGATATACCTTACTCCTCTTTTCCCCAATCCAAATATCATTTGATATTTAGGTTAAACAAATACTGTAGAAATTTCACTCACAAAATATCTATATTGAGGAAAACATAAACAGGAACGTAGTGTATTTTTTACATATTTAAACTTGCGGTTTTATCAGGATAGCAATTACAACACCCCTATTTAAAGCATATGGATGTTTCTGTACCTTTAGTGTGTTCAATAGTTTTTATATGTGCACTATACTACATGAAGAAATTGTATTATGATTTTAATTAAGATGGTGCTTTTATTCAAAATAAAAAATATCTACTTACGTCTTGCCTTGTTTCCAATTTTACATTCCCAGTTCCTAGCCCTCAAAAAGGAGGGAGATTATGTTTAGCTGTTATCTGGTAACATAAAACTTTGTCAAATCTGTATGATGTGGACAGACAATTTAATTATGCCGTTCCTTTTTTTTTCCTTTTTTTTTTCTTCTAATAGAGCACAATGACATTGGTTGATTAATTTAGCTGACCTCGCTTTATGAGAGAAGACTTTTGTTGTTAAAAGTGATGCTTCTATCCTCCCCAAATAAAAATATTGGACAATACTCCTTGTGTTTTAATACTTCTGAGATTTCTCAACTTTCAGGTACGATCTCAGCTGAAACAGATTTTCCTCTGCATGGGGTGAGTCCAATCTGTGTTATTTGGAAGGCTTATGTCTTTTGTGGTAAATATTCATATCAAATTTCAAGTTTAACATTTTTAATGTTAATATCTTGTTATGCAGGTTTGAGGAGATGCCAACAAATAATTTTGTTGAGAGCAGGTAATTGTTGCTTGGACAAAACTTAGATCAAGTTCCTTATATCTTTGTTATCAAGTTCTCCATTCTCATAATGACATGTGATGTTCTTTCCAATAATAAATAATTTCCATTAAATGTATTGCAGAATTTTAAATATATATCCACATGATGTAAGAAACATGATCTATGTTTTGTCTGGTTGCTTCCACATCAATGCCATCCTAGTGTCTTTGAGACTTTGATTGAGAGGCAGATAGGTTCTGGTGCTTTCCTGTCTTGTCAAAAAACAGTAAATGATGTTTGGAATATATTCTTTTAAGAAATATGCCTGAAATGTGTAAATAGCAAAATAATTTATAGAATAATAGTTGAGAGAAGATTGTGGATGATGATTTCTCTTTACCTCCCTTTTCTAAGAGAGTGAGGAATTGGAAGGAGTGGAATGAAATAGGTGAGAATTAATTTAATAGGGATAGGTAGAAAATAGAGTGAAATTTATAGTTGATTGGTAGAGTGGAATTAGGTGAGAAATAGAGGTGAATTGATATTTTTAATTTGTATTTTATTTAGATTTTTATGTAAATATATATATATATATATATATATACACACATATATAAAATTATCATTTTATCCTTTCATGCATTAATGTCTGTTGAAGCCTTGAAGGTAAGTATAATGCATGTGAGACCCACCATAAATTCTATCAAATCCACTCCTTTCCCCTCTACCAAGCAGAGGGTTACTAAAAAAATGTTATGTGCTCTTTGCTGAAGCTTTCGAGCAAGCAGGGGAAACAAATGTTATAAAGTGTTTGCAGGTAGTTTCCTTTAAGAAATCTTTAGTATCACTCAAAATAAAGAAATGCCCTAGACTTGTAGCCCTTAAGATTTAAATTCAGAAACCAAGTTCCTCACCCCCCCCCCTTTTAATCAAAAAAGAGAGAAAAATATAGCTTTAGATCTTTGTCAGTATTCAAGTTAGTAATGTCTTCTGTAACTTGTTTCATTGGGCCTTCGTATGATAGTGAAGTAACCAATGGAGCTATTTTTCTTTTATTATGATAGAGAAAAAGTCTCTTGGTAAGGTTCTTTCTGTAGTGACTTGATAATATGGAAAGAAACTTTTGTTCTAAATTCTAAACAATGCATTAAAACATGAATAAAGTGACATTTAAATGATATATCTATTCTAAATCTCAAAACATATTGTTAATCTGCTTGATCTCTTGATTCTTTTTGTGTGAATGTGCTATTTAGATGATAGAGTTATGTTTAAATTTTTATAAGTATTGAATCCAACATCTTATAGTTATACTCACTATGTGGATGGCAAGTAGCACCTCACCATAATTTTTTCATCTGAATGTTTTAATTGGCAGCTTCTGGAACTTCGATGCGTTGTTCCAGCCCCAACAACACCCAGCTCGTGATTCGCATGATACATTCTTTTTGGAAGGTTAGTTAAACCTTGATTATTTTCATGCTAATTTTATGTTTCTATTCTGAGAACATGTGACACAATCTGCAGCTCCTTCAACAACACAGACATTGCCAGAAGATTATGTTCAGAGAGTGAAGCAAATTCATGAATCTGGTGGTTATGGGTCTAGAGGGTACGAACTTTAGCGAACTCAACACTTTTTAGCATAGGTTATTTACTGTTTATAGATGGATAATTTCAAAATGTTTTCGGAAAAACCTTACAAATTTTTCAATGGTAGATATGCATATGACTGGAAGAGGGAGGAAGCAAATAAAAACCTCCTGCGAACCCATACAACTGCTGTTTCCTCCAGGATGCTTTACCAACTGGCACAGGTATCTGTCTGAATTTGCTGGTATCATGTTCCAGTGGGTGCATATGATTACATTGTGTTTAATGCCATTCAGGCCTCCTAATATTCTTATTCTTCCTGATGATTTTGGATTGAAATTTATAAATGACACAGATAATACGAGATTGTGCTTTCCAAGTTCTAGCTCTGAATTATAGCTTACTTACATCATTCTTTGTTTCCCCCTGCACTTTGATGTCAATGCAGAAACCATTTTCCCCAAAAAAATATTTCTCTATAGATCGTGTTTTCAGAAATGAAGCAGTTGATCGTACACATCTTGCTGAGTTCCACCAGATAGAAGGTATGTGAGAGCTAACAACCTGTGGTTTTAATTGTTTTCAAATTGTTCATCTTGCAAAAAAATACGCTCACCTTTGATGGTCCTATTACAAATCATATTAAATAAGGGGGTAGGGGTTACTGCAATAAACTACAGACAGCTATTCAGTATCTATTTGGATTTGACCTACCTGATGTCTACTCTTGGCATTAAAATTTATCCAAAAAAAAAAGTTGCTGGAATTTTGTCATGAGTTATGCTAGAGAGTCCCAATTATTGGCCGAAATTTTAAAATATTAATATTTTTTAATAATTTTATTATAAAATAATTATTTAATTAAATATATTATAATTTAAATTATTATTTTAATGATTCGGAACGAATTCTCATTTTCCTTTTGTCATCGTCACATTTTTATGTTTCAATTCAGGCGTTGTATGCGATCGAGGACTCACTCTCTCTGACTTAATTGGAGTCCTACATGATTTCTTCTCACGCTTAGGTAATGCTCTCGTACTGAAAAAGATTTAAATGTTGAATGGAAGTTGGAAACTTCATGGTAAAAGCGCAGGCTTTAGTAGTATGATTAATCTTGCTGATTTTAGCTAAAAGAAGTGATTTCATTATCGAGTTCAGGCATGACCAAGCTGAAGTTCAAACCAGCATACAATCCGTACACTGAACCTAGCATGGAGATCTTTAGGTGAGTCTTCTGAAATGATGATTATTTGGTATGTCCTTGTCTTGGTTTGGATATCATGAGATATGTTAATCAAGTACTTTAACAGTTATCATGAAGGCTTTAAAAAATGGGTAGAGGTAGGAAACTCTGGCATGTTCAGACCTGAAATGTTGCAGCCGATGGGACTTCCCGAAGATGTCCAAGTTATTGCGTGGGGCCTTTCCCTTGAAAGGTGAGAAAAACTTAGGAGTCAGGAACACTATAACCATCACTGGGAATAAAATGATTTAATTTTTAAAATTTAAGTTTCAATTATCGTTATAATTTTGCCGTGCAAATAACAAATTGATTTTAACCCTGTTATTTTACCTGGAAACAGGCCAACAATGATAATGTACGGGATAGATAACATCAGAGATCTCTTTGGACACAAGGTATTTTTAGGGGATAATTATAATTATAAAGCTGGACCCATCTCAATTTTGAACTGAATAACCACTGTCTGGTTATTTGCTCCTTCGTATTGATGGGTTCCTGTTTATAAATATTGGTTTTTTAAAAAAATATATATACGAAGTGATATTATCCTTCTTTTTTTTCAGGTGGATCTTGGGCTTATAAAGAAAAATGCAATATGTCGTCTTGGAATTGACTAAAATGATTATTGTTTGTCTCTTATTGTCATTTACAAATTATAATTTATTTTTGTCTAAGAGCAAACACTACTTGTAGATTATTAGTTCAATTTCTGTGAAAAATTTTGATATGGGAAAAAATTTACGCCCTTATGGTTATACTCGTATGTTCTGAAAGAAATGATTGATGAGAAAGTTACCAAATTTCAATTTTGTGGTTTGGATAATTTCATGATAAAGAAAAGTTATCGCATTGCAAGGACAAGGTTTATTGGCCTCAGCTACTATAGTTTCATACCATTTACACGCCGCGTACCGTGAAGAATTGCTTTTTGCTGGCGAGTAAGCTATGCAAGATGATTTGTTTTCGTCTTTACCAATTGAAAATGTCACCTGTGTTTGCTTTCTAATAAATTCTGTACGCGTCCATTTTTTACACAAGTTGTAATAATTCATAATCAATACAAAATAAGTTAAATAACCGGCTCCATTATGACCAAAAAGAAAAAGAAAATTGTGTTGGCATATACACTGTTTTTAAAAGTTTTGCAATAGTGGGATAAATGGTAGCAACAATTGACAATGTGCTTTCAATTTTCACAATGTGCATATACACTTTTTTTCTTTTCTTCCCTTTATTAAGTAGTTAACATATTATAAATGTGATTTATTATTAATGTTGATTCAATTCATTATCAAATGACTTGTGGATATAGTATCGTGATTCTTGCATATTTTTTCAACGTTCAAAAGAATTATAATATATTAGAGTTTTATAAATTGGACGCATATCTCTAATTTGATCATTGAGCCTACTCTTCTATTCAATATACAACATTATCGTGTATTAAGAGCATGGGTTCAGAAACCAGAAACAAACGAATAAACAACAATGGTTGGAGATTGGTTCTTTAACTTCCACAATTTTTAAATGATTTGAATGTGTTTGTTTTAATTGTTTGACATGCTTAGATCATTAGAATCTTATTGTCATATTTGGTATCAGAGATATGTTAAACCTCTGCCTTGTGTTTGTTTTGGGTATTGTGTTTTAATCCCATTATTGTTTTTAAAACTGGAGAGGAAGATGATGATTTTTCTAAGTTTTCTGTAATTAAAATGGTGTTTTTGGTGTTCAAAACATGCTAAAATAGTCGAGTTTTAATTCTAAATTCACAAGTCATAAACGGGTCCAACAGACCTATCTCAAGGTTAAACACAAGTGAAATGCATTGTGTTTTCGCATTTCATTTTTGTTTGTTATTGAAGCGCATAAGGTTTTATATTTTAAATGTGTCATACATATTAAATAAAGCGCTTGGTGTAGTGGTTAGCTTATTTGAAATATAATTGTTGTGGCACGGGTTTGAATCCTACAAGCACCCTTTTGTTTGATTTCCTTTTTATATGATAAAGTCACAAACTTGATTGTAAAAGAATTACTTTACATTGCATTTCTTTTGTGGCCTTACGCGTGTACCTCCACATATTAAAATAATTTTAAAGATCATGTAACACGAATAGAATTTAGTTTCATGATGTGACAATTGATGTAATTATTTTATTTTGATAAAATTCTTATTTAGTTTGATGTTTTCTCATTTATCTTGTGCACATACCTATTTACTTTGAAAAAAAACTCATTTAATTGTGACCTAGAATAAACATATGATTTATTCATTAGAGCTAAGAGCTTATGATGAAAGACTTGATATATTGTGATATATGGGAGATAATACTCATTATCAGAGGACCTATCACCATGATTCATATATTTGGTTTCTTATTCTGATTGATAATGGATAAATGGACTAAGTGGGAGAATGTTGGCATATACACTTTGTTTTTAACAGTTTTGCAACAGTGGGATAAATGGAAACAATAGTTTGCAACGTGCCTATGATTTTCACAATGTGCATATACACTCCTGATTTTTTCTCCTCTATTAAGCAGTTAACATATTCTGAATATGGTCCATTATTGATGTTAATTCAACCTAATATCAAATGAGTAATTCCTGCATAGTTCTCCAATGTTCAAAAAAAACTCTGATGGATTAGAGTTTTATAAATCGAACGCATATTTCTATTTTGGGTCATTGAGTCTACTCTTCTCTTCTCTTCAACATACAACACTATCGTGTATTGAGAACAAAGGTTCAAAAACCAGAAACAAGCAAGCAAACAACAACGATGGTTAGAGGTTGGTTCTTTAGCATCCGCAATTTTTAAATGATGTGCTTGTTTTAATTATTTGACATGTTTACATCATTAGAATCTTATTCTCATAAATTGTAGCCAAAAGCTTTGTTATTAATGGATTAAAATTAAGATCTGAAGGGTGCTGTTACAAACTATCTTAAGGTCGGCATAAATTTGAGATGGTAATAATGACATCTTACAATGTCCGGACCGTGTTCATATAAAAAACGTGATGATAATTGAGTCATCAAGGAGTTTGATACTAAGTTGCTGGTTACAGAAAGCTAGATTAAAATAGGTTTCATATATCAATTTGAGTGTTGACCTTCTGAAGAAGGATGAAATTTGGTATCCTGCTGGTAAACAGGACCCAACACTAGCATTCAGGAACATAATAAGCATCATATCAGATTACCGTGTCATTACAAGTTCATACAGATTATTCAGTTGCACAACAATCAATTCTTCCCTTGCTCCTGTTGTGGAACCAAAAATAAGGTGAAAAAATAGGATCAAATAAAGAACTAAAGCAGACATGTAACAAAAATAATCACTATAAGCCCAACATGTACAGTGTGTAAGCATATACCTCAAACCATCTTAGAGTACACTGGTCAGGTCTCCACAACTCCCGACTTAGTCCGGACACCACAGTGGTAGTTTCAGTGCAGCAATTCTATCTTTACAAGTGAGGCAGCACTGACAAATTAAGAGCTTCTATTTTTTACATACACCAGCTGTTATCAAGTCATTTAGCACCTCCAATTTTGTGAAGAACAACTAAGATTATATGACAATCACTTCTATTAACCAATGAAGTTAAGAGAGTATAACAAGGTAAAATTACTATACTGCATTAATTCCTAAAAACTCAAGAACCGTTATATTTACCACTGCCATCAAAAAAATTTATGCCTGGAATGTAGTAACATCCGCACTAAAATCCTCATTTGTGACAGCAGATTCAAATCCCTGAGTATCAGATTGGGGATGAGTAATATCCTCATTTGTGACACCAGATTCAAATCTGTGGCGCTTTCTAATTATAGCCTTGACCATTTTCTTGAATTCTTCGTCAGTGCAAGCCAACATGTATCTCAGCTTCACATTAATCTGATTCTCCACTAGAACCTTGTGTCTTGGGATAATTCGACCCTCAAGAGAATAGCTGAAAAACCTGATAACGACAGGGCATGGATAATTGAAGAAAATCAAGCAATGCGATAAAAAACATCAAGTATTTAACAAGATTTTGCAATCTATGGTCAAAATATAATTATGTGATACCTTGGAAACTCAATGAGATCTTGCAAAGGCCGGACCATGGTTCTCCGCAAATAAATATACTTGGGACGAAGAACATTTGTACTGTATCTGAGCAGCATTGGGAAATCAGCAATCATCTCACCCAATTGCCGAAGTCGTATGCCAAGAGACAGAAAATATTTTACATGTAAATCAAGCTTATGTACTATATGACATCCCAAGAGCTCAGGTCCAAGAGCTATAACCTTGCCAATATCTTTCTCATTGACTCCAGCTTTGGTCATCAAGAATATGACCTACACAATATTCAATTTTCAGCAAAAGACTCAATTGATGCCTCTAGATGAGACAGTTTAGACATATATAATTATTGTGATCAACTTATTATGTCTATGCAACATTACTTTTACATGAAGGACAACTTCATAGCATTTGATGCATAAATTCCCATTCCTAACTCATGCTTTCTGGACGTGGTTTGAAGTGTATGAAGGTACGAGGTTGGGTACCGATAAGGTATGCTTGCACAAGATTATATTCAAATTGATTTAGGGCTGGTGTTGCTGAAAATAATATGAAAACTCGTTTCTTTTTGTTTTTTAATTATTATCGAAAAGGACTATCATGGCAGCAGCAAGGCATTGGAAAAAATAACATAATGGTGGCTACTTCCATAGTTGCAGAAGAAAAGGACCAACCACTGGTTTAATCTTCTTGTCCAGGCTGTATGTAAGTAGAGGAGGAAACTTCACAAGCATGTTGCCAATCGCGTCCTTCTGAACCCCTATGTCCTCAAAAAACCGTACCTTCACAATAAAATAGGTGAAATTTTCAGCATTATTATCCAGAAATAAGACTGAAATCATTGGAAATTTTATTTCTGAAACTACTAGGTTTCTAATCTATAAAAATAGATTAACATCTAGATCTCACGAGCTGGAGGAATGAAAATAACAATAACAAAATGAAACTCCTGTGTAAAGTACCACAATAAATTGTACCAGCTGACACCTTAATCACAAGCCTCACTCAACTGATGAAAGAAACATATAAAACAGTGTTTGCATACCTTAGGCACGATAGTCATCTGCAAGTCTGCACAAAAGACCATTGGTTTAATGGTAAGCATTCTCCTCATACCATCTCGAGTGATCCCATAATAATACAGATACTTAACAAGAGGCTTCCATTGTTCATCAATGCTGCACGCCATCAATTGTGGCCTAAATGCAAGCAATCTGCCAACATCCTTACTTTGAAGCCCAAAATCTTTTAAGTAATTAACCTGAATATTACAGTTGCAGCACCGACATGAACATCAAAGTAAACTTTATGTCTTTAAGCCTTTAAACTTCATTTATGTTTGATTTGGATAATACTAAAACTGAACAAATTAGCAAAGTATTTGGAAGACAATGAGGATATATTTCAAGATGACTTCACTATGTAAAGTATGTTAAAATCTAATGTACCTTTTCATTCATTTGTTCCAGACTATAGTAACCAAGTACTCTAGGAAAATCAAAAACCATTGTGCCAAAATCCTTCTCATTTAAACCCATATCTAGGTAGAACTGCACACGAGTCTTCACTTCTTCCAAGCTGTAAGACAACAATTGAGGACAACGACTAATAACATAACCCATCCAATCATTCCTGACTCCATTGGACTCCAAATACAGAACAATCTCATCCAGTTCCTCATGGTTGCGCTGCAAAATATTCTGTCCAGCATTCAACATTACAACACCAAGAAACTCTCCTTTCACTCGCACGGATTTCAACCACTCCGCAAGACTCCTTATGCTATCAGTTTTTCCTCTTGACATCAAAATGAGCTTTGCTATCCGAGGATACGATAGTTCATTATGCTTCAACCATCTAGAGAATCAAAGACAAACAATCAAACACAAGCATTTCAAATTGAAATCCCACACAGACAACCCACAAAAAACAATCAATAAGGATGATCAATTGATCATTGATCATCAATCATCTCAAGGTCTTAAAAAACGGTCCACGAACATAATTTCAGCCACATCATCAAGGTTACTGAAGTAACCGCGACCACAGTTGTAGCTGCATTTATCTGCAATTTCCCACATCATCAAGGATAGCAACAAAAACCGCAATTTAAAACCTTGATCATCCCATTTGGTTTCATACAAACAAAACAACAAACAGCTTACCAACAACCAACGCATGGGAATCTAAGTCCTTACCTAATAAGTGGCACCACTCTGGAGTCCTCAATTATAAATTTGGCGCGTAAATTGAAGGTGGAGTTTGCATATTGGGGCAATTTTTTCAAGTGAGCAGCTTCAATCATGATGTAATCAATGAACCCGGATAACTTACTAACCAAATTGTTAGCGTAAGTGATTCCAAACTTTCCCCTTCGCAAGGCTTCTTTGAAAACCTCTTCGGTGACCTTTCTACGAATCTCGAGAGCGCGCATTATCATCTCTTGCTCCTCCTCCTCGTCTCCATCGTCAGTGTCAGCATTGGACTGAAAGAGTGTGCGGAGAGGGGGCAGAGAAGAACCCACATCAGGGTCGCTAGGGGATTGAGCGTAGATGGAGCCAGGGAACTGAGGGGTTCTTCTGCGCACGAGGGAAAGCTCCAAAACCTTGACTTTTTCTTCGTGGGGCATTGGGTCTTGAAGCTCAGCGGGGTTGGGTTTGGGAATGGGAACGGGTTGGTGATCGAAGCCACCCTTGTGGGAGAGGTGGTGAAGGAGATACGCTGTGGATTTTGAATTGTGTTTGCGGAGAATGGAGTGGTGCTCGTTGGGGGCGTGTGGGTTTTGACACTTGAAAATGGTGCATGTTGGGGTGCAGAGGGGAACGGAGAGGTTGTATTTTTGACATGAGAGGAACATCTATTATTTTCTTTCTTTCTTTCTTATTTGCTCGATGAAGCTCAGGGATGAAGGTGAAGATGGTGGTGGGAATCGGTAATGGATAAGAGTTTAACAGTTGCCACTCTTCACTTTCGACATTGTTAGAAACACTGATTAAGAGGTTAACGAACAAGACTGACCAGCACTTTTTTTTTTTATTTGTTTCCGGAGTACTAGTTGCTCATAGAAGTGACTAATCTTCTCGCTAGGTTGGAAACATCTCAAAGAATAGGATAGCTGACCCCAAGATTTAACGTGGCTGTATAGATAAGGCAAAATTCGAACCTCTGACCTTATTTAAGCGTAGATCAACCCCTGTTACTGAACTACATGTTTGGAGTTACTAGAACTTTTGTTTTGATATAGATATTGTACTCTTAATTTTCTTTTAATTTTTTTTTTTTATCCACAAATGCTCCTCCTTCTAATTTTTTTATTATAAGTAAAAATAACTGACACATATATTAAAAAAAATATTTGAACTAAATTTTATTATTTTTATGAAAAAAAATAAATTAACCTTATAATAAATGTTAAAACAAATAATTCAACTGAAAAGTCATGTATTAAAAAATGTATATTTTAAAAAAATATCATTAAATATTTAAGAACAAGAAATATATTATTTTCTTATAATAAAAATTACAGAGAGTATTTATCATGCTTAAAGGAAATTAAAAAAAAAATATTCTAACTCCATGTATTTTTAATATTGTATATTTTTAAATCTTAATATATATTTCTTCTCTTGTAGTCATCTTTTTCTTTCAAAACTCCTTAAGAAAAATTCACAAGGATATTCTTTTGCCTGTTAATACTCTGTAATTAAATAACCACATGTATCTTCTATATCGTGTAATTCTACTCGGATTGAGTAGGATAACTATATATATTTATTAGAGTTATATACTCCATTGGCTAATCATTGTGCAAACTGCAAAACTGTGATATGGAAAATGTTTGGTGAGAATGCATGTTGAGTTTATAAGTGAAGTTTAAAGGTGGTGTATGTTCATTAGCTTAAATAGAGAAGACCTTATGTGTAATGTAGGGTGTTATATGTCAAAAATTACGTTGAATATCCATTAGCTTAAATAGAAAAAGAACTCGTGTATAAACAGTAATGTAGGATTTTATATGTAAAGAATTATAAATTAAAAGCTTAATGCTACATTTGGTATAATGGAACTGCAAAGATAGTGATAACGTAATTACATATAATATGTTTGGTTATATAATGATAACGTAATTTTTTGCGTTTCACTAAAGTTAATGTATATTTCGCATCTTTTTATTATTTAACGTAATTTTTCATGTCAATATAATGTTTCGAACCACTTATAATTGACACTATGGAAGTTAAAATTTGACTTCCAAATTAAACAACCACAATCAATTATGATTGCTACAAAATTGGGTATAAAAGTCAAATTTTGAGTTTTAGAGGCTTTATGTGATATTTTGAGAGATCATAATCGATTTATGGCAGAAATATAGTCAAACATGAATGCCAAATTTTTAGTTTCAAAGATTTTTAATGTAATATTGTGAAAATTCATAATCAATGGAAAGTTTATATTTAATTGTGACATGTTGAAAAGCAGTTTGGTGACTCCATATAATCAATTATGACGATTATATAATTAATTATATGAACTTATTTATTAAAAAACTGAATTAGAAATTTAATTATAAAAGACATATTTGTAGTAAAGGTTTAAGTTATTCATTTGTATAATACTAAACTTGATTTTCTTAAGCAAAACTTAAGTTCAAGTCTTGTATTAAAAAAAATATATGATTAGAAGGAATGATTGTGACTAATTAAATTTCTTGACAGATATTAATTATTGAAAAAGTCAGTAAATATTTCATATCAGTAATATATTTATAGAAAAAAGACATATTTAGAAATTAATTTATAAAATGATTTTAAATTCTTTTTTTGTCTAACCTAATATAAACTAATAAAAAAATTTAATTTTCCTTCCAATTTTCTTATAATAAACAATATCAATTTCTACTTTATTTTTTTACTTACTCTTCTTTTCCATTTTTTTTCTTATTAATTCCACTTCCGTATATAACACGATTTTAAATTATTTTTTGTCTAATCCTATATAAACTAATATAAAAAAATTTAATCCTCTTTCCAATTTCTTTTTAATTGTAGCGGTCTGAAGGGCACACTAGTAATTTTTAATATTTTGAAAACCGAACGAGAGCTTCAAGCGAATGTTCCGGTGAGGGGGAGGGAGGGGGAGAGCACTTGCAAAAGGCACTTCGACGCTTAAGTCAAGACAAGCACGAATATCGATAGTAATTAATGGACAGTGACGTACCTCGAGATGTGAACTATTTATAGTGACATTAATGAGCCCTGCCCTCTATGGGCCCCGTGCTAGATATACCGAATTAGGTAATATGTCCTTAATCTTCTTACATACGCGATTAGCTTCTGATCACTGTTTATGGATTATTTATCCTACCACTCATTCCTTAAGTCCCTTCGGTAATCAAGAATGTCGATTAGGTGTCAGCGACTAGAAACAATCCTTTCGAACCCCGATTACCTTTATAAAGTGATTTTCTTCGACACTCGACTGAACTGAATTGGTACGGTCTAATCATTATTAATACTTCGTATTGATGAGTTGTGTTGGCATTTAATCATGTCAACACTCCCAATGCTAAGCTGGATGACCAAACCGAAGGGTATGGCTAGAGCTGTCAAAACGGGCTACCCGGCCCGGCCCGGCCCGGCCCGGTCCACCACGGGTTGGCCATTTGGTGGGTCAACCCAACCCGGCTCACTTATCAGTGAACTCAAAAAAATCGAACCCGGCCCGGCCCACTACGGGTTGGTGGGTTAAACGGGTTGGCTCACCTTAAAAAAAAATAATTTTTTTCATTTTTTTTTCTTAATATACAACTAAAGCCCAAAAATTTAAACTTATTTTAAAAATCTGAGATTCTTAATTAAGACATCCTTAAATGAATTATTCATCCCAAACATTAAATGATAATTTTAAATACAATCAAATCAAATCTAAATAATCTCAAATAGATAAATATAATCCAAAATTATCTTAAACTTCAAATACAATCCAAAATCACAAAAATTACATATCACAATCTAACATTAAATTATTATTGTCTCATGTTGGACTGCACCATGACCCAATAATTATTGTATTTTTTCAACAAAAAAAATTAATCACGAGTTGGTGGGCCAGCCCGGCTCACCACGGGTTCAACCCGGGTGAGCCGAGTTCAAATTTGACCCGTATTAAAATTTTCAAATTTTTTTTAACCCAACCCGACTCGAACCCATAGTGAGCCGGGTTAGCTCACCGGGCCAAGCCCATTTTGACAGCTCTAGGTATGGCCGATAGGCCCTACTCGTACATTAATAAACAATATCAATTTTTACTTTAGTTTTTACTCACTCTTCTTTTCCATTTCCTGGCATATTAATTCCACTTCCGTCTCACTACCAAACACAACGTCAGTTTTATTATGTAATCATGTCGAATGGAGCCATTTTCCAATATCTATAGTAATAAGTGTAAACTTTATTCTATGCAGTGGTCAACTTTTATTTACGAGAATGACATTTTTAATAATATAATAATAAAAATGACATCTTTCAGTATTTAAAACAAGTACATTTGTTAGAAATGTTTTTATTAAAATAAAGTGTTAAATGTGAGAGAGAAAAAACAATAATTTTACATATAAAATATTTTTTTTACGTCATGTGAATTAATATATTCACATTTTTATTTAAAAGTAAAAACATAAATTGTGAGAGTTAATTTTTAAAATTATTTAGCGTTCAAAAATAAAATTTATAATCTCATAATAAAATGCAAAATACATTATTTATTCATATATTTTCTAAAATACAAAAAAAAAAATCATTGAGTAAATAAAAGGTCCCACCGAGATTTGAACTCGGGTTACTGGATTCAGAGTCCAATGTCCTGACCACTAGACCATGGGACCTCGTTGCAACTAAGGATTGTACAAATAATATTTAAATATTGTCTCATCAGTTCATTCCTCCTTTGATCCAATATGAATTCCAGTACAAGCTTTCTTGACTTGGGATTTGGGAACAGTACCTGTTCTGTTATTTAAAAAATTAAATAAATATATATATATAATATAAAATACACATATATATACATAAATATATAATTATAAAGATTAAATTTAAAAATTTTATTTAAAATACACATAAATATATAAATATAATTATCAAATTATGATTTTATTTATTTAAAATTTATAAATAAATTAATTTTTTTAAAAATAATATAATGACTTTCATGAATTTACTCAAACTTAACGAGACTTTGATAAGAATGAAAATGAAGATGGATTTTAAAAATATAAATTTGTCTCTTTAAAATTCAAAGTAGTCCAATTTTATCTTTTATGGGTGTAGGGATAAAGAGAGTAAAATTATCGATATATTTATATTAATCAGAATAAAAAATATATTAAAGAAAGCAAACTAAACTATATTTTATATGATTTTAAAATTTTGATTATTATAATAAAACTTCAATTATATACTTTCACAAACACAACCATCATATATTAATCCTCCATTTTGTATGACGATTGCAAATAGAGTTTGGCTAAAAATCTGAAATGATAGTCGCCCGTGATCCACTGAATAACATACCTACACATCAAACAATTGATCCTTGATTTTCGAATAAAAAATGAACCAAAATTATAAATTTTAATAAACTAATATTAAAATTAAAAATCAATAAATTTAAATTAAAGTTTAAATATTATAAAATAATTAAAAGCATAATTTAATTAAATAAAAAACTAAATAATTAAAATTTTCCCTTTGAATTTCATCTAGTATTGTTTCACCCGAATATCAAAACTTTTAAAGTTTAAATTTATAGTTTATTCTTTTTCTCTCCATTTAAATAAAACGCAAGTTTATGTGAAAGTGTTGTTATAATATTCTAAATAAGCAAATAATTTTTGTTTTATTTATACATTTATACATTATAATTCAATAATGTCAAACATGTATTTAAAATAGTTTATTTTCAATTTTCTAAGATTGAATTTTTATTTTA